CATAGATGAGTGCATTAGCTCTAGTTAATTCCCTGTCATTGTGTTCCTGGAAAGAAAGAGTGTTTGAAGTGTTAGAAGGAAGGGGATGAACATTTTTTAAAAACATGATCCCCGTTAAAGTGATGTCTTATCAAGGCAAGTTCATGAACTCGCCATCCTTCTGAAGGCCACCTGCACCTCAGTCCAGGATATGTCCCTGTTGTGCTCATATTATAGGCAGCAGCTCAAACCTAGATTCAATCCCATAGAGCTACTGTAGCAAGATTGAGACTCCTCACTTGTGTGTGGGATTCAAAAATTTCATAGTGCTTCCTTCCAGCTGGAAGTTGTTTTGGTGAAGAAATGTGTAAAACTTGAGAAACGAGAGTTTTGTTCTCTTTGTGAATGGTGTTGCTCTGAAGAGCAGCTGAGCAAGCTGGCTTGTCCAGGGGTGTCACTGCAGCAGTCACCCAACTGCACGGCTGGCCACTGATTGCAACGCTTACCGCCGTGAGAGAACACGAGCAGAGAGAGGCTGTGATCGAAAGGAATTGTAGTGAGTTCCTCTGATGCAGTGACTGTGGTGGTCAGAGCATGCCAAGCCTAATGACAACAGGGACGTTGTGTGGGAAAGCAGTGGTAGTCTGTGGTGTGCTGTACACCCTGCAGCTCCTCTGGGGCTGGACGCTGTCTGTTGTGTATCTACTGTGACAGGTGGGTGCCAAGCGACATAGTGGGCAGGGAAGCGAGATGTTCTACTGTATGTTCCGGTGTGTGTGTCCACTCCTCTGTGTCCTGTACTGTCTTCTGTGTATGGACTGAGCCTGCCCCCCAGTCTGTCCTGCATTTGGGTTTTGCTTCAGATCAGATCATTCAGCTTTCGTTAACAGCACCTCCTAACTTACACCCGCGATCTCAGCTTTCTGACAGTGGCTGATTGGTTATATTGGTCTGCTGTGGGTTACCAGCAGAGGACAGTAATGACTAACCTGGTTAAACAGCACACCAATAACTGGAAATCTCTGTGATACCGGTAACAGGAGACACTGCTGAAATTGTTGTGGCTGCAAGAAATGTTTTTATTCTGGCCTGTTAGACTTGTGATTTTGGGGGCTGTTGTTGTCCAGCAATAAGGCCGACTCTGGTTTTAATGATCAGGACATCTGAGTGCACGCAGCGGGTTTTCTAACAGCTTCATCGTAACCTTCAGTTCAGGGCCATTTGGGTTTAAGCAGTGTCGTACTGTAGCCAGTATCTGCGTGCCCCTGCATGCTGTCCTATTTCCACCTGTGTCCTCTCCCTCTGCCTCTCAATACTGCTAGGCCTGCTTCTTCGGAGTGTGCAGAAAATTCTGGTCTGGTTCTGCAGAAAGGGGCGGTACTAGCTGTATGCTGTGTTGGGTTTCCTGCACACACTGGGCAATTCTAACCCCCTTGCAGTGTGGGAGAGGACAGTTTCCCTATGTTGACAGACATGCCAAGCAGACATTGCCAGTAGGAGGCGCTGTAGGTCTCAGCTAAGCCTTGCCGTGGGCCGTAAATTTCTCCCTCTCCCTGAATCCCAAAACCCCACAACCCCACAGTCTTTCCCTTCCGCAGTGGCTGAGAACGAGAGATACTGTATGGCTTCTTCTTTATGTGTCTTGACAAAACAAAAATGTGTTAAACATCCCTTTTTGGACTCAATAAAAAATGGATGATCAACAATTACAAAAGCATGTATGTGAATCAGTGCAAACCTTAACCTCTGATACCCTAAGTACCTATCAGATGCTCTTTCATTCTCCTCTATCTGTCCTACTCTCTTTCTTTCTTTGTCTTGCTTATAACAAGCAGGTTAAAGTTTGCGTTCAAAACACAACAGTGCATTCCTGAGCTCTTGAACTTAAACATAGGGGCGGTCATGCCAGCTCCTATTTTTGCCACAGATTGGAGCGATAGAAATTTCTATTACGCCACACACAATATCAGTCCAATGAAGGACAGCAATATTGCGCTCATTCTTCATCTCATTGGTAACATGTAAGTCTGGGCAGAGCTCAGTGTTGAAGCCCCGCATTTGATTGGCTCTCATTGGCACTTCCCAGTGTGAGTTGTGTTATGAACGATAAATCCTCTTCAGACCTTCAGTTCCTTTCTTGTTTTGTTGGTCATATGTGTCTGTCTATTGGTGTGTGTATGTAGGAGTAAATGTGCCAGGGTGAATCCTTTTTAAATACGTCTACCAGTTCATCAATGAGCTTTAATTTAAAACCTCTCTATGTACAGAAAGAAGAAAGCAGATTTCAGGTTAGACTGTGAACCCATCTATTAAAGTGCAACCATCCAGTCAGTTCCTAGTAGCTGAAGTTACAGATTTGGGTCATAAGGGGGAATTGTTAAACAATGAATGGAACAATGAATGAGACCAATGCAAAAATATACTATTGTCAATCTTAAAGAAATTATCTTCAAAATTGCTTATCACACAATAAAATAGTAAAATGCAAAATGTAATTTCCATTATTTTTGGATAATTCGAATTTTTTTACTTTTATTTGTTTTCATAGTTGCAGTATACATCCAATTTATTAATAATATATCACTTTAATTTTGCATTGATTTATGCAATCAAATAAGAAATATCACTTATCTGATCAGACCATTAGAACAGTGGGTCAGTATTACTGTACATGATAGTAATCAATAAGGAAGTAATACTTACAAAGTAAGTGGGTATGCCTTTGAGATGTCACTGGCCCCAGCCTGGGTTAGGTCACTAGATCTTCCAGGTCTAGAGCTGCCCCTCTGTCTGTGCACTGTGTTAGATCTATCCCGCTGTCTATGCACAGTGTCAGAGTTGCCCTTCTTTCTGTGCGCAGTGTCAAAGCCATCCCTCTATCTGCAAAATACAGTATCAGAGCCATCTCTCTGTGCGCAGTGTCAGAGACGCCCCTCTGTCTGTGCAAAGCATCAGAGGCATCTTTCTATCTGTGCACTGTGTCAGAGCTGCCCTTCTGTCTGTCCAAAGTGTTCAGAGCTGCCCCTCTGTCTGTGCAAAGTGTTCAGAGCTGCCCCTCTGTCTGTGCAAAGTGTTCAGAGCCATCTCTCTGTCTGTGCAAAGTGTTCAGAGCCATCTCTCTGTCTGTGCGAAGTGTCTCTTTCTCTGTGTTCTCAGACTGTGACTTGCTTACTTTTCATTGCTTCCTCCCATCTCCCCTGCCAGTGGGCCCATACAGTTCAGTTCTCCCACAGTTACACATGCTCCACTACATACCTACAGTACAACTGAAACATTCCCACTAGTTTCACACTGACAGTGTTGGAGGGTTGGTGACCAGGTTATTTCCACTCCAGACTTTTTTCATGGTCAGTCAATTGTCACTTTCTGCGCTGAAATAATTAGACGCTGACACATGACTATGAGCTTTAAATGAAATTTTTGTTTCAATTTGTCCAATGCTATAATAGTAATACCGGGTTAATTAAAATTGCACCTAATCATAGTGGCATCAGATATCATCAGATGGTCTAAAAAAAAGAATGCAGACATGTAGAAGGCCTATTATTTCTATTTGGCTCTCTCAAAAAGTAATTGAAAAACAATTTAAACTGAGCGACGAAGTGGCTATGGCCAGAGAGCTGTTCTGGAGTGGAGTCTGGTAACTGTGTCTGTCGGTCAGCATTGTCCACCAGGCGTGTTGCTGCTAGATGCCTGCCCTCCCTCTTTCTCTCTGCCTCGGCTGCTCCTGTGGGCATTGCATTTATTCTGATTTCCCCACAAAGAAAGAAGAAACTTCCCAACTAACCAGTTCCATACTCTTTTTCTGGACTAATTAAAAAAAAATAAGTTTTTGTTTTTGCTCCAGACTTCCGTGGCGCGTTAATGGGTTTCTATCTGTATTCACTGGTGCTGCCACTCTTTCTGGGTTTAGTTGTGTTGGTTCTTGGTATATATCTGTGTCAGTTCCTTCCACAGCAGGAGTGATTGTTCACACACAAATGTGTCATGTTCTTCCAGGGTGCTTTGGTATTTGAAACAGCTAAGCCTATCAAACACCGAAGAGCCATCCGAACCTTAACAAAACTAGGGCTGGTTGCCCACAATTACCATTTCAGTTCCCTGCCCATCTCTCAGACTCTTTGATTTCCCAGTTTGTTGCTTAAGAAATAGATTGAACTTAATCTGGGAAGACAGAGCTGATGCCCTGCTATAAAGTGAAAAACTCCAGAAGTTCTGTGTCTGTTCCTGATTTCTTTACAGAAATCAACCAGCAATTAGTCTACTGTAATTAGAAACTGTCTCTTGGCTCTGCAATGTTAACAGGTGTCCTTACCTGTGAGTGAGGTAATGGCAGAGCAGATCATATAGTATTCTTCCCTCGATATTTGGCTTTACAGCTGTTACAGTCTCTAGAGGAGTGCAGTGTATCTTCCAAGATCACAGTATATCTTTCGCAATGGAACAAGCTGCATGGGTGCTGCTTGCAGAAGTTTAGGGAGTAGACCTGAAGATATTATGAAGTGAAATGTGTGTTGGGACCAAAGCTAATCAATCAGATATTAAGGGATGTTTTGTGCAAAATAGTAATTTTATTTAGTCTGTCAGCAAGGAAGCCAGCCTTACTTCTCCTCCTCTAACAGACACACTTAGTGGGGCAGTGCCTCAGAGTGTCAGGTATCTGTACTATACTCTCACCTAAGAGAAACCATTATTACTGATCGACCCCCCCCCCCCCCCAGGGCTGCAGGGTAATTTGTTTGAAGTGAAGTCAAATACTGCAATAGTGTAACTTAATGTTTTTAGGTTTTCTCTTGTTTTCAGCTCTATGAACTCAGTGCCCTCTCCTGTTCTCTCCATTCTGTTCTTGATGAAGATTCCTGCATTGGATAAAGCAATAGGGAATGCCATGTGCATGACTGTGGAGAGATTGTGTTGCAGAGTACATAACTCAATATACATGCACAACATGTGAATGTATATATGTATATTTGCTGTTCTGATCTTGACCTCTGTTTTCATTCTAACCTAACCTCTGATCTAGTACTCCTATTGAGCATGCTCCAGTCTCCACAAGCCCTGCACCTGCTTCTCTGCCTGCTGCTTCGCCCAGTCAGCCAGCTGCGGCGCCGCAGAGCCTGGCCAAACAGGTCTCACCGTCTCCTCCCGCTGCCCTGTCTCCGGCGCTCTCCCCAGCCCCGCCCACACCCAGAAGGTAACCTTGTATGGAGTAGAGGCGGAGCTTTGAGTTCTGACTGGCGGGTCAGGAACGGCTGCATGTGTATTGTGTGTCATGGTCATTTCAGTCTGATGTCTTGTGTTTCAGCTGAACCATATTCTGGGGGTCCCTTACCACCATGCTAAGTTTCCACTTGCACACTAACCAGAAGACGACACATGTGATGTGGTCAGGGGCTGTGTGTACCTTTAGCACATTAATCTGCTACTTCTTGTGGATAGTTTTATTTTTGTTCTGGAAAAAATTATTCATTTTTCAAGAAAAGCATGGGAAGCTTAGTATGGCAGATGGGGCTTTATGGGTATGGCCCATTGTGTGTAGTGATGGTCATGTGTTTCCTGGATAATCAATGTCTTCCAAATAAACTCTGAAAATGGAGGGGAGAAAATGTGAGTATCCAGCACAGAGTTTTTCTCACTTTCTAATTGATGTAAAATGTTAGATATTTGGATACATTTTTTTATTTTGGTAATTAAATTTAATTGTAGCCCCTTCTTTGTTGATCACTGCTGTGGGTTTCCCCTTCACCTGTTATTTTCAGCATAAAAGGGGTCAACAGTTTTAAATCCTACCACCAGATTTACACTGAAGAGACCTAATCTTTTTATTTGTGGGACTCCTGGGCCCTGATTCTGTGCACCATACAGCTGTTCTCTTGCTAATAGATGGATACCCCCCCCTTCATACTGGGTGTAGATCTGTTTTCTATTTGTAATCAAGCTCTAAAATCTGAACTGCTCATATCCAAATCCCTCTGGAAGTGAGATAAGCTTTTTCTTTCCACCTGAACAGACTGTGTACCGTAAATACAGGTTGCAAACAAAGTAAGATCAGAACGCAGCTGCTGGAGAGTGATTTTCTCAATGGCTCCACCCTTGCTGTGTTACATGTGGCTCTGAGCGTGGTGATAGATGTGCTGTCAGAGTGATGGCATTGACTCACACTGGCACAATGATCCACTTGTAGAAAATGCCTTACATTAAACCTCCCCTTAAGTGCTTCTTGAGATTAAGAATTTTGCCCAGAGCAGTTGAAGACACTGACATCAATACCCTGTTTAAGTGAAAATGTGTGTAAATATCTAATAATTCGTTATTTATGGAGTTTTATGTGCCCAGCCATTGGACTGTTAAATACATTTTCAATACACAGATGAGGAGAAGGTGGTATCATTAAACCACTGATGTCAGTGTGGTTGACTAGTCAACTGTTGGCCAAAATTCATTAGCTCAAGAGAGTCCCATGAGCCCCAGCGCAGGTAAGTAGTTACAGCTCACTAAGCAGAGATGACTGATGCAGCGAGATATCTTTAGCACTGAAACTCATCATTGTCGTTGTCATCATCATCACCATCATGACCCATTCAAGCTACTTCTGCAGCTCCCATGAAGAATTTCCCACCCAGAGCCCCTGCCTGACAAGAGACCTGTCTTGCCAAAGACCGTGTAAGAACAGAGAGCCTTACGGTGGAAATAGGAGTTTTCATATCAGCATGCAAAGATGTAAAATTATCCTCCTGTCTATTGGGATGTTCACATTGTTGGGGTAGAGTCAATCATAGACAAAGAACCTTGTAAAGAGACCCATGTAATCTGCATTTCTGTCTCAAGTCAATACATCAGTATGGTGACCGTCTTTCAGCTGAGACTTTCAGCTAAAACTGAGGTCCTGGCTACTTGCTTATTATAGAACCCAGGGCAAGTTTAGAAAGAGTAGTGGTGGTTTTATGGTTAAAACTCACTCTGGGTCTGCACACTCTGCATTCCCTAAAGTCCCCATTTATTCAGCTGTTAATTCAAATTCAATTCATTTCCTCCCCTGATTTGGTGTATAGTGGAGCTACTGGTGCTTAATGGCTGCTGTGTTTCACCCAGGTAGGGGCTATGTATAAACCACTTTTAGGATAGAAAGCACCATACAAATACAATTTATTATGTAATAATAATTAATAAGATTATTTAATCTTATTGGGCTCTCCCAACCAAGACCCTTTGAATTGATTTCTAAAGCTTAGCCTTCCAAATTGAATCCATTTTCAGTCATCTATAAAATGAATTGACATCAGGGGCTGAAATGCAGGTTAAGTCACAGGGTTCTGGTTCGCAAGTGTGTTTTGCAGGGTCCTGAATGTACCAATAAAAAAAGTGCTGTAAACTTATTGTTCTCCCTCCCTGTTACCAGCGCTCACAGGAATATGAGGAACTAATTTACCCTTGATGATTCTGAACCTGAAACCCAAAATTGCCTCCTTCCCTCACTGTGGGAATCCTATGGTGTTTAGACACTGAGGAATAGGAAGTCGGTGAGGGAAGGTGGTGTTTTTTCTAAGGAACACTCAGAAAAACGTACCTTAGTTTCCTTATTTGTTGTTGGTTCTGCGTAAGTGCCTGCATTGTGAATACAATTCTGAATACAGCATTAGCTCTTCAAGGACAGGAGGATCAGAGAGCTGAGAGCAACTCTTTACAGAGCAAGACAGAGAGACTCGGTTCTAAGACAGGACCCGTTAAGCCAGTCTGCATCTAAACCCAGAATCCAAAAAATGTGAAATAGCAGCATCTATCTCCACATCACCATGCCACTATTAAAATTAAATTTAAATAATTAAATAATTAAAACTGTAACTGTAACTGCAGTGCATGAACAGTTCTGGGCACTAACAAATCTAAAAAATGAGGAAACTAAGGTGAGATTTTTCATACTGTGTTAGGGAGCAGTAACCTTGAAAAGGAATTAAAACTCTTTCCTTCCGTCAGCAGTTCTTCATTAACTCGTTCCTGCTAATATCCCGTCGCTTGTGCTCCTGACAGATGTGACCCCCCTAGGCTCTGTGATGGAGGCAGGGGCTCTGTGTCTTACTGTCTTAGCTATTCTTTCCCAGCAGGTGACAGGTGAAGCTCCTGTTTTTCTAGACCAAGTTTTCCCAGCAATCCCCACCACTCTTCTTCTCCTATGTTTTTGGCATTGTTCCTTAATTACATGAAAGGCTCTACATACTGAGTACTTACAAGTACTGGCGGCCTATTGACACTCTCTGAGCCCCAGTGTTAGTGTGCAGTGTGGGCGTGTCTCAGGCTACACACCCTCTGAGCCCCAGGGTGTTGTGTGATTGTGGGTGTGCCCAGCCTGCACACTCTCTGAGCCCCAG